ATGTATTATTTTACTGACTTTTGCACTGATGTAGTTACTACCACCAGATTACATATTGTGTTCAATTTAGTAACCATTATTATATTTAAATTTTACATGGTAACATCTTTGGATTTTTGTTTGCCTCTTTGTTTTTAAAATTAGCCATGTTTTATTTATCAAGTCCCATCTTACTGCAAAAAGAATTTCAGGGAATAGTTGAATAATTGACTTAATAAACATTTTTACAGTAAAATTTTTATAAAGCAAGTTATATTTACCATTAAGATCATTTCCTTTTTCTCATTTCATGTTTAAATTATTATTTTTTCATATGTATTTTTTAGGTTATTTATTTTGAGAGAGAGCACGAGCTGGGTAGGGACAGAGAGAGAGGGGAGAGAGAAATCCCAAGCAGGCTCCACACTGTCACCACAGAGCCCTATGCGGGGGTTGATCCTGTGAACCGTGAGATCATGACCTGAGTTGAAACCCGAGAGTCAGATGCTTAACTGAACCCTCCAGGCACCCCTGTGTTTAAATTATTTTATCATCACTCAGTTTTAATATATTAGTCTTTTTCACCCTTCTCCTTTTGCCAGTTATTTAAAAATTAAAAAACTGCTGGGGCACCTGGCTGGCTCAGTCACAAAAGAGTGTGTGACTCTTGATGTCAGGGTTGTGAGTTCAAGCCCCACGTTGGGTGTAGAAATTATAAATACATAAATAAATAAATACTCAAAAAAACCTTTACTACTTAAATGCATCTTTTATGGTACACTGTTTTATAAGTGAAAAATACTTTTGAGATATAAACAGCATTGTAAGGTTGGATTATTGATGTATCTTAAATATGTCAGGTCAGAATGGTGCCCTTTGCACATTTCCGTCTGTCCAGCATGGCGGTGTTGCTGAAGGTTGGTGCGTGGCAGCAGTCAGCACAGGGCAGTGGACCTGCACGCAGGGAGCCAGTTCTCCCCCTGCAGCAGTAGATACCTGTGCAAACATGGCAGAGGCCAGCACTGTAATGCCTGTGGCAACAGCTGAGGTGACAATAAGGGGAAACAGAGCAAAATCAACACTTTGTGTAAGTGTCTTCAAATGTGTCCTGAGTTGCTCTGAAAGTCTCCTCAAAGAAGTTCAGGCCAGAGTGGTCCCTCTACTTTCTAATTTATTAATGATAGTTGAAATGGGCATAAAGAATGAAATTAAACTTTATATTCTAATACTTGAATTAGTTACGAAGGATGTGTATATGTAGGCTAATTCTCTTGTTGCTCCATCTAATTTGCTTTTTTTTTTAATTTTTTTTTCAACGCTATTTATTTTCGACAGAGAGAGACAGAGCATAATACGAATCCGGGAGTAAAAGGCATAGTGGAGCATTATCACAGAATCGGAAACAGGCCGCTGCCTCCGGTTAACAAACAGAGCACAAAGGCTGCTGGCTCTCGAACTCAATGACCGCCGGTAGATCGCGACCTGGCTGAAGTCGATCTGTCCCATCTGGCAAGCCACCCAGGCTTCCGCTTTTTTTGGTTTGTATATTTTTTATTTTTGAGAGCAGGCATTGCAGGTCAGGAGGGCAGAGAGAAGGAGACACAGAACCCGAAGCAGGCTCCAGGCTCTGAGCTGTCAGCACAGAGCTCCCACGCTACCGAACTGCCTGAACTGTGAGAGATCACATCATGACCTGAGCCGGTTGATGTTTACTGATCGAGCCAAATTCATTTATCACAATTGCACCCCCACTTGCTTTTTAAACAGAACTTCAGCAAAGCATGGCCACTAAGGACAGGTTTTGGAGGTGGATATTCTTGATTTGAACTTTGACTCTATCCCACTAGCTGTGTGACTGCAAATGTTGTGTAACTTTCTAAGCCTCAGTTTCCTCATTTTTAAAATGGGGATCATAATAGTATCCATATCAGAGGGTGGTTGTGAGGATTAAATAAGACAGTCTATTTAAGTTTTTTATTTTTATTCTAGTATAGTTAGCATGCAGTATCGTATTACTTTCAGTGTATAGTATAGTGACTCAGCATGTCCGTACGTGACCTGGTGCTCATCATGATAGGTGCCCTCCTTAATCCCCATCACCTAGTCAACCATCCCTCCTCACCCCCCACCTCTCCTGATGACCATCAGTTTATCCTCTATAGTTAAGAGTCTGCTTCTTGCTTTGTCTCCCTTTTTTTCCCTTTGCTTATTTTGTTTCTTAGATTCCACATATGAGTAAAATCATATGATATTTGTCTTTCCTGGACTTATTTCACTTGGCATTATACTCTCTAGCTCTAGCCACATCATTGCAAATGGCAACATTTCATTCTTTTTTAATGGCTGAATAATATTCCAATACACACACACACACACACACACATATGCCACATCTTCTTTATGCATTCATCTATCCACGGACACTTGGACTGCTTCCATAATTTGGTTATTGTAAATAATACTGCTGTAAACATAGGGACGCATGTATCCCTTTGAATTAGTGTTTTTGTATTCTTTGGGTAGATACCCAGTAGTGCAGTTAATGGATCATAGAGTAGTTCTATTTTTTAACTTTTTGAGGAACTTCCATACTGTTCTCCAGAGTGGTTGCCCCAGTTAGCATTCCTGCCAACAGTGCAAGAAGGTTTCTTTTTCTTCACATCCTTGAGAGACAGTCTATTTAAATGCTTAGCACAGTGCCTGGAAAAAGTAGGCATTCATTAACTGTTAGATATTATTTTATTAATATGTGCCATGTACCATAATATTATTATTAATAAACCTCTAGCAAAGGTGCTCAGCAAATATTTTTTGACTGAATTTCGGTTAAGTGGCCATTTCTATAAACTGTAAGTTATGAGGCTACTTGTCAGAAGTATACATTGTTATGTTCTTTCTGTGGGAAAATCAAATTTGACAGTCACTATACACTTGTAACATGTTTTGTTCTTGGAACTGCCTTTTGTCTTCTGAAACTTCTAGGTCCTCATTACTGAATTGGGTGGAAAGCGACATTACTACTTCCCTTTACTTTTAATTTAATAAACCTTTGTAGTACTGCTGGTGGATAGGAGAAAGACACATAAGATGGTTCATTTCTTTAAGGACCACTGGCAAGAAAGGCTTGAAAGGCTCTTAACTCCAGTGACCCGCTGCTGTTCTTACATGGGAGATACTGCGGTTGATCAAATGGTAGTAATCTCAGTGCAGAAAAACAAACGTGACCTTTGCTACATGTACACAAGTTTAAAAGTTGTAGTGAACACCATGGAGATCGTCACAGCCTAGTTATTAACCTAGCAGAAGCACGTGAGAGCATCAGCAGACTGGGGCTCTGGCACCACAGAGGCGTCAGTCACTCCAGGAAGCTCACCTGGTTCTCAAAGCCGTTTCTTGACATCATCTCACAGGTGAAAGAGGGTTTATTAAGTCTGCCTTTTATGTAAGATGTATTTCTTGTGCCAAATGTAAATGAAGAGACTCAGGGAATTGGCATGTCTCAGGAGGGAAAACAGGAAGATCATCAACTGTCAGGTAGTTGGAAAAGATTTGGAGAGGAGGTGCCATTCCAAGAAAGGGAATAAATGACCAGCGTTGCTTACAAGGGAATTATTTTAGGCTTAGAACACATAGAACTAAATGAAGGGGGGTTGTGTAGGCTTGTCTGGAAAACGGTAGACGGCGTATCAGTCGAACAAACACGTATTGAGTGTAACTACGTACCCGGTGCCAAAGGTAGAAAAACAAGTGAGAATCAGTCCAAGATCTACCTCGCTATTTAATAGGAGAGACAAAAATTATCTGCTAATTATAACCGTGTGCTCAGTGAACAAAGTACTTTGGAAGGGCAGGGAACGGAATGGTTAATTATGCGTCAGTGGGAGGAGTACATAGTAAGGCTGATTTCCACAAAGCCAGCAAAGTGGAAGAGAGTCACCAGGAGGAGGAACAGGCACAGGAATGGTGTGAACGCCAGCATGGAAGCGTGGGCGTATACATGTCTTGTTGGGGGATTTGGACAAGAGCAGGCAGCGAGACGATGATGACATTAAAGTGTGAACAAAGCACTTAGCCCTTGTTTGATTGTAAGAAAGATCACTTTGGTTCTTGTTCAGTATATGGTTTAGAGATGAAACCCCGCAAGCTTTAAGAACTCCCTGGTGGCTCTGTGTGATGCTGGTGGTGGTGAGGGCTGACCACTGACTGAGCAGCAACCAGAGGGAACAGAGAGGAGAGGACAAATGGTGGAGAGGGGGAGGGTAGGTTCTACCAAAAGGCTGTGGCAGCCATTTGGATGGGGGTCGTGAAGGAAGCAAAATGAAAGGATCCTGTTTTCCAGCTCAAGTGTCTGAGTAAATGGTATTACCACAAACCAATTTTGGATTCCAAAGAGGAAACAGGTATTTGGGGCACAGAATGATACTGTGTTTGAGTTTCTGACATTTTGAGTTTGAAGGGCCAGAGGAGCATACAAATAGAGACATCAGTAGGTGGTTGGAAGGAGGGGCCGGAAATGGAAGAGGATCTGTATTTACGAGTCAGTTGTCAGCATGTAGAGCTGATAAAGCTCTGGCAGTAGATTCAGTCTTTCACAAGAGTGTTCTGAGCTCAAAGACTACCTAGGACTGTGTCTTTGAGAACAATCAACATGTTCGGTTTGGGAAGAAAATGTTCTTGTTGTGTGCACCTGTATTCTAAAGTCAGAGCGAACTGTCATGGTTTTATTTTGTATTCTTCGACTTCTCTCTCAGCAGTGAAGATAATAGAGAATTGGTTGTATTCATGATGTGTGTTCTTCAAGCATGCCATTGGAAACAGCTTTTTTTTTTTACCCTTAAAAACAATTCTGCTTGAAACTGAAGTCTCTAAATGTCATTGCGCTAGGTTTTTGGGTTTCACCGATTGAATTAACCCTGATTTCAAGGAAACTAGTAATTTTGATCATGATATTAGGCTTTCCTCTTCCAAAGTGATTGTGCTCAGTGTGGCGCTCACATTTTAATTGCTCTTTCCCTCCACAGGAGCTGATGCAACAGAATGGGATTGGTTATGTGTTAAATGCCAGCAATACCTGTCCTAAGCCCGACTTTATCCCCGAGTCTCATTTCCTGCGCGTGCCTGTGAATGATAGTTTCTGCGAGAAAATTTTGCCGTGGTTGGACAAATCAGTCGATTTCATCGGTAAGTAGTTCAGGGTAGTATTACAAGCCCTTTAAGGGTTATAGTCTCATGTGTAGGTGCACCCCTCCCCTCTCTCCCTTTTTCTCTCTTTAGAGAAAAGGAGGCTATTGCAGAGATTTCAAAAGTCTGAAAACAACACATGATGCTGCTTATCTCATTCAGTGGCCAAGGTGACGTGCCATGCTGTCTCTAAGAGACTGGCCTTGTGACATTATAGCTAACTAAACCACTGCCAGGGTTAAGCCTGATGGCATCTGTCATTACATATTTGCAAGCACTTGAAATCAGTTAAACTTCTGGGATTAAATTTTGTAGCCATTTCCTGAAATCCTATAAAAGACTTTTGGAAAGTTTGGTGGCGTTCCTTAAACTGTTTTTGCCTTGCTGCTATGTTTTCCCCAGAGAAAAGTCAAATCCTGTGAAAACAAATCCCATTACACCTAAAGTCTTTATGTCATGAGATTTGTAAGCTTCAATCCGTGTGCCAGTAATTTCAAGTAGTACCGGCTCTAATAGAATTCACACACACACACACACACACACACGCACACACACTTGGTCGTTTCCTTGGGGTTGATTGTGATAGGCTCTGATCTGTCCTGTGCTGTGTTGTTTGCTGGGCCTGGGCCTGTTAGTCCTGGAGCCTCCCGACTCCTAGCTTCAGGTGCTTTGTAACATTTTGGTGCCGCAGGATGAGGTCTTCTGGTGGTAAATTGGTGGTGGTAAATTGGCGATGTGTATTTGAAATGGGGTTTTAGTGGAGAGTAGCTGAACAGAGGAGGTACGCTGTTTGCTTTTGAGCAGCGTGGCACGGTTCACTCTTGATGTTCCATGTGAGAAGTTTTTCTTCCCCCAGTCACAGAAGCTTGAGCACCCTAATCCACAATTAAATACTCTGAATTGGTTACTGTAATTAAAAAAAGAACTAGTTCCTTTTAAGATGTGAAACGCTGTAAATTGAGCCCCTCAACTATACCCTTTCATCTGTGAGAGGAATTTTTTTTTTTTCTAGATAATGCTTTTGGAACATTGAGTAATTCCAAAACAGTTCTGCCTTTTTTTTTTTCTTCAAGATTCCAGATTGCTAAAACTTTTCATCTTTAATTAGAATGCAGTCTTTGAAATGCCAGAAGATAAATGGCTTAGATAATTCACATTACAGTATTCACAAACAAAACTCCCCAAATTAATCACCCCCACCATTGTACTTCTAGGAAATATTCAGTATATCATTCAGTTTTTGCCTCTTTAAAAGAGAACAAACGCTCTCTTTTTTTAACGTTATGGTTAATGTTCCCATTCCATGTCACATCAATCCAAAGACATTTGGCTCTAATTTCAGCTAAAAGTGCAGTTTCAGAATCTATTTAGAAGAGAACCTGATTCTCTTAACTCATCACAATGTCTAAGCTTTTAGGAGGGTTAGCAGAAAAGAGAGAATATGAATAACTTTGCCCCAACTTACTTTCTTCTTTCATGGGAGGTATTGGGGTCATCCTGCCACTTTTAATTCAGACAAAAAGAATTTACTGTGTTCCAACTTGGTTAAACACACCCAAGTACACATATTGTCATTTATTTGTAACATCTGAAAATATTTATACTCCTCATACTCCTCAGTATTTCACCTGCTTGTGCCTATTTCCTAGGGCCACTGTCCTTATCCCACCCAGGTCATTGAGGGCAGAGTGTCCAGCCACGTTTTGGAATCCAGTGCACAGTCACGGTAGTTGCTGGTCTCTAGGGTGCTTTACGTGAGGGTGGGTCATGGCTGAGTACACGCTGTGAAGATGCACCCTCATACCAGGGCTTAGAAACTTCCAGGCTTGCGGGTGTTTTTTCTTTTTATTATTTAGGTAAATTCCAGTAAGTTTCTGGGTTTGTTGGAAGGACTCAAGTGTTCATGGAGTTTTGTCTTTGTTTTTAGTTCACACGGGCAGCAGTGAGCTCGGGTTGCCTGTTTGCACTACAGGACACGCACCAGGTGGCCCCAGTCCCAGTCGCTGCTGCTCCAGGCTCCTGCCTCGCCTCTTGAGTTTAAATGTAGGCCATACAGGGAGGTGACTAAGGGCATGTACTTTGGAGCCAAACTGTATTTGAGTCCTGTCTTCCTTGGGTACTAGTTAAGTGATGTTGGGTAAGGTCCTCCGTTTCCTGATCTGGAAACTGAAGATAATGTATCACTTTATAGGGATATTGTGAGGATTAAAATAGATAACGTACCTAGAATACCTTGCCACTCGCCTAACTTATAATTGGCTCTTAGTAAGTAGTAGTGGTTGTAAAAATTAACATCTGAGAAGTCCTTTGGTTTTCTTTTTCTTTGAGCTGTCCTCTAGAAGCACAATTATTACTTCTTTATTTTTAGCCTTTGTAACTTCACATCTTCATTGGCTTCCCCTTACCCTTTTGTTATCCTCTCTGCCCTTTGTTAAAAGATTTTTATTCCCAAATAGCTGTGGTGGCAGCTTGTTTTTCTTCTCTCCAGTTTTCACCATCAGTATTTTTGTTGCCCCCTGTTCAGGAACCTGCTGTTCTTAGCCTAACATTCCCAGACCCTCCAGCACCTGCTCCCCACCTTTACAACCTTTCTGTTCCCTCCCTGCCCCACACGGCAGACTGTTGTCTGTGCAGCCTCATTACTCCCAGTGTGTAGCTGCCTGGCACACACACACTGCTGCCAAGAAATGTGTTCTAATGAACCAATCCAGTGAAATCACTTTTCAATCAGATTTTTAAAATACATCCTCAAAGATGTTGTGACTGTAAAAGCAATGTAAATACAATGCAGAAAATCCGAAAAACAGAGAAAAGGAAACCTGTAACTTCAGCATCCTAACACATCTGTTATCATCGTTTTATTTCCTTCCAGCCTTTTTCAATTTTTTTTAAAATATATGAAATTTATTGTCAAATTGGTTTCCATACAACACCCAGTGCTCATCCCAACAGGTGCTCTCCTCAATACCCATCATCC